AAACACACCTGGCTCTCACCTGGGGGCAATTTTGCCCCCCAGGGACATTTGACAATGTCTGGAGATGTTTTTTGTTGTCCCAGCCGAGGGAGAGCTACTGGCATCTAGTGGAGAGAAGCCATGGATGTGCTAAACATCCCACAATCCAAAGGCCAGTCCCTCACAACAACTATCCAGCCCAAAACGTCAATGGTGTCAAGGTTGAGAACCCGTGGTCTAAAGGAAAAGCTGTGGATAGTTTACATGCCTTGATCCCTCAGGGAATCAGCCTTGAGATGAAGCTGACGCTGCAGATAGCAGATCTGAGAGATGGAAAGAACTAGGGTCCATGATGACACCACTGAATAATAGGCTCATTCTCCCTCTGGGGCTACAGTTACAGGAGGTTTTAACTTTAATTTTCTATTGGCTAGGCCAGTGTTTAACTAAGGTCTCTGTTACTTGCAGCCATGAGCATCCTGATAAACTAGGAAAGACAGAAAGAGAAAAAAAAGAACAAACAGGGAGAAGGGACGTGTGGTAGACAGAATAATGCCCCACCCTCCCGTCCACTCCCCCTACGAAAGAACTCCATATCCCAATCCTCAGAATCTGTGACTATGCCACTTACATGATGAAAGGGACTTTTGCAGATGTGATTACATTAAGGAGTTGGAGATGGAGAGATTATCCTGGATTATCTGAGTGGGTCCAATGTACCCACAAAGGTATAAGGGAAAGAGGCAGGCAAGAGAGTCACAGAGAGAGGAGATGTGGCAATGAATGCAGAAGTTAAAGTGATGCCCTTTAGCAATGGAGGGAGGGGCCCCAAGCCAAGGAACGCAGGTGACTTCTAGAAGCTGGGAAAGGCAAGGAAACAGGTTCTCTCCTATAGCCCCAGAAAAATGCAGCTCTGACAATACTTTGATTTTAGTCCATAAGACCCATTCAGACTTCTTACTTCAAGAACTGTAAGAGAATAAATGTGTGTCATTTTAAGCCACTAAGTTTGTAGTAATTTGTTAGAACAGCAACAGGAAACTAACACAGCATGGCGATTAGAAAACCCAAAATAAGATGTCAGGAGTAAATACAAACATATCAATAATCACACAAATATGAAAGAGTTGAATCCACCTATTAAGTAACAGAGGCTCTCAGATTGGATATTTTTAAACTCCAGCTCTGTGCCATTCATGAGTGGTATACCTAAGAGAAAATGACACAGAAAGGTCATGGAAGAATGTAACTTGGTGCTTCAGTTACCTATTGCAGTGTAACAACCACCCCCAAAATTTAATGACTCCACAACCATTTTATTTGCTCTGTGGGGTAGTAATTTGACCTGTGCTCTGCTAGGCAGGTCCTCTGCTGGTCTCCCCTGGGATCACTCGTGCAGCTGCCATCATCCAGCAGTTCAACTGGGGCTGGAGGGTCAAAAATGGTCTTACATAGCTGGTGCAGGCTGTTGGCCGACCCCACTCTCCATGTGGCCTCTCATCCTCAAGGAGGCTAGCCCAGGCTTCTGCATGTGGTGACAGCAGGGTTCCAGGTGATGAGCTCAGCTGCTGCAAGACCTCGTGAGGACTCCACTCAGATGTCCCACCACATCAGTTCTGCTGCCTTCTGTATGCAAAGCAGGTCATAATGGCAGCCAGGAGTCAATGCGTGGGGAAACAGACTCCACCTTTGATGGGAGGAGTGGCAAAGTCACGTTGCAAGGGGTATCATTTTGGGAAGGGAAGGAGTTATTGTGGCATCTTTTTGATCAATTTATCATACCTGAAAAAAACACAAACACACAAAAGCAAGTATAGTAATAACAGTATCAGACAAAGTTGAAGTCAAGGTGAAAAGAAACTAAGAGGAAATATTTCATATTGATAAAAGAAACACTACAACAAGAAAATAAAATAGTCATGAGATTTTTTACATCTAACAACATACATTCAAAATATGTAAAGCAAAATCTGCTCAAAGTATAAGGAGAAATTGACCAAAAATTACAATGGAAGACTTGAACATACTTCTCTCAAAAACAAAAATATTAAGCAGTTAAAAAAATAAGGATAATGATTATTTGGGTAACCCAACAGGCTGATCTAATAGAAACATTTAGAAATGCATTCTAAGCAGAGAATGCACATTCACAAAAAAATGGCCCCAGTCTACACTGCAAAGACAATCTTAATACATCCCCCCACCCAAAAATAATACACAGACCATCTTCACTCACTACAGTGCAATAAAACTAGAAATGAAAAACAAAATTTTAGCCAAACAAAACAAACCAACCATAGGTCTAGAAATTTTAAAACAGACTTGTAAATAACTCAAGTTAAAGAGACAGCAGGCCCAGAACTCAGATCTCCAAATAACCAATACAGGTCACGACCTAGCCCTTTTATTCATATAAAGCTATTTGTTCTTAAATATTTACTGAATTATAGGAAAGGGTGGGAAAGTGAGAGAGTCAGAGAGGCAGAAACGGATAGAGACAGACCAAGGCGGGCTGGAAAACAGATTGGCTGGAGCAACTAGTTCTGTCCATCGAGAGATCGAAGAGGTCTGACAGTTATCACCAGCCAGGTTCAGCAAAGCCTAAAAGCATCTACTGGACTCAGTGACCTGGGCAGGCACACACCATGCAGGGGAAGCCAGAGCAAGGCACCAGCATGCAGAACAGCCTCTGATGAGCTCTGATCCTAGGGCAGATGCTGTCTGCTTCTGATTCCGCAGTGCAAATCAGCTCCTGTGTTCAGAGAAGAAAGGTGGCTACTGCGAGCAGGTAAGGTCCAGAAACTAGAAGGAGTCCACAAGTCAATATCCAGAAGGATTCCAGATGGCTATGACTAAATAATGCCAGAACATCCGGATAAAATGGGAACTGTCAATTTTCTGAACATTGGAGTCAAATGGTGCCCAACAACCAAGCTAGGCAGGTGGCTTGCCAATTGAATAAACATGGTGTTTTATCTACACAGCACAAATCAGAGATAATAGATTATTTAGCCTGTGGTTAGGATTCCTCTAATAATTCAGATCCCAAACATTCTGCTTGTGGCCTCAATTATTCACGTTATTTGACTACATAGATTAAAATACAGGGTAACTATCATTCTTTCCTTTGTACTAGTAACAGAACATCTGTTAGTGTGAAATCACTTTTTTCCCTATTAGTGTGGATTCATTCATGCCTTTATCCACCCACCCACCCATCCATCCATTTAACAAACCTCCAAAGCAAACCTAACACATCATAGATCCTTGGTGTTTTGTGTGTCGCTGTTCACATCTCTTCTGATTACCTGTAGATGAGGAAGATTATGGTTTGAGTTATTTTGGTGCCAAACAATATTCTAGAAAGAAATGCTTAGCAAAAAAGTTCTAAATAAATAACTAAAAGGAAAAACGAAGGAGAAAGGGAAAAATGTGCTGGAGGTGGAGAGGAAACAGGAGGGACCCAGAGGAGGTGGGTGGGAATCTTGCTTCTTCTCTGACTGGGTTTTGATTTGCACAGGGGAGTCGGCGTGTCCAAAGGTGCTGAGAAAACCAGCCCAGCCCAGGCAGCAGGGAGGGGGCAAGAAGGGCTGGGAGGCAGGAGCCGGAAGAGTTCTGAATTTCTTAAACCCTATAGTCTGGATTCTGGTGTCAGAGCCTGAGCTATTTTTCTTCTCCGCCACCTACCACCTCCCCACTCCACCCTCCTCCAACACACTCCCTCAATTTTCCTAAGAATTCTGAGTCCAGAAGAAAGAGAAGAAAGCAGGTGTCCGATTGTCCTTCCCCCTCCTCCGCACCCCGACCCACACACCGAGACACTAGGTCTCCGGCGCCCCCGTGGATAACCGGGTGAGAGCCTCCCACACCGGGCTGTAACTTGAGCACAGGTTTGTCCGCCCTCCGCACCCCCGGACCCGGAGATTCCTGAGGGCTAGTACACGTTATTTGACTACATAGATTAAAATGCAGGGTAATTATCATTCTTTCCTTCCGGTTCTTCACCTCTAAAACGCCTCATATAATTGCCATGTGACTTAAGCATGTTCCCAGGACACGGAGGACGCTCAGAACAGTGCCGGGCACTTCGTTCGTGCTCTGCCTCCTCGGGCGAATGCAGCAGAGGGGACAGCGCCCTCAGCCTGGATCCTGCGGGTCCCTGTCGTGCCCGGGGACTCGGCAGCATCGCACTCCCATCCCTTCCCGAAGCGCTTCCCTCGCCCAGCCAAACGCAGAGCCCAGCGAGCGGCACTCAATAAATCTGGTGACACTGGCCTGACTTCCGTCCTCGTGAGAGACAGGGAACTAACATTAATCAGGGCTTGTGGTGGCCGCTGTGCAACCCCGAGAGGGCTGTGTAGACATTCCCATTTTCCAGATGAGGAAACTGAGGCTTCAGTCCAGTGCCAGCACTCCTGTTATCAGGCGCTTGGATTTCCAAACCCACCTCCTCCCCTTTACAGTATTTCTTTCGGCCTCCCTAGGGCCTAGGAGGAAAGTCTGGGGACAAGGGACTAGGAAGGTTCTCAACCACGTGTCTTACGTGTGTATCAGGCTCCCAACTCCCGCGCCAGTGTGTGGGGCGCCCAGGATGTGCGGCGGGGACTGAGCCGGTGCCTGGCGGGGAAGCAGGGGGGTGCAGGGCAGTGCCTGGGAGCGCTCCAGCCCCACCCCTCCACCCCCATCCCCCACACTCCCACCACACCCCACTACGCCACCCCACCCCACCACCTCCATCCCCTACACTCCCACCCCCGTCATCCTGCCACCTCCATCCCCTACACTCCCACCCCATCCCACCACCTCTTCACTCCCCGCCCCTCCACCCCCGCGCGGAGGCTGCAGGGCTCAGCAAGGGTAAGCCCGGGGCGGCACGGAGGGCAGACGGGCTCCAGACCAAAGTCCGAGACGGGCCACAGCGTGGGTCTCCTGCCCTCCCCCCGCACCGCGGTGTCCCGGTGTGGGTGGGTGGGGGGTTGCCCGCCCTTTGACCCCTTGGATACTGATTAAAGAGGCGGCCAATAGGCGGCTGGGCGGAGTCGCTCCCCTCCGACGGTCCTAGGCGCACGCTCCAGACCACAGCCATGGAGCGTCTGGTGCGAGTGAAAACTTGGGTGGAGGAGAACCGAGCCTCCTTCCTGCCCCCGGTCTGCAACAAGCTCCTGTGAGTCTCAGGCACACCCCTGTCGTCCTGCTCTCTGTCCTCACCTCCTCCTCCATCTGCACCCCTCACCCCTGACCCTCCAGCTCCAAGTTTCTTGACCCAGAAGCCTGCAGAAAGGGGGCTGTCATCCTCACAGTGCCTTCAGGAGAGGGTGAGGGCTGGCTGTTGCGGGTTCCACCACCCTCTCTGTTCCTCTTTCTGGTGACTTTGCTGTGGAGATTGTGACTTTGACTTCTGAGGATGGTTGGTTAACTCTAAGGCTAGGAGACATGCAGGTGGCAGGTCACAGCCCTGCCCCCCCAGGGCTGAGAAAGAGCTCTCCAATCCCCAGTGGCTCTCAGAAGTTTGGGGAGGGTGCTTTTCCACGCCCTAGAAGTACAGCAGAACCCAGGTCTGGGGACAGCCCAGTCATGCACCCCCACTCTGTCCAGGAAGCCACAGGCAGAGGATCAGCTCCTGTAGGAGGATCTTGATTTATTGCTCATCCCAGTTCTCTTTGCAGGCAGTGCACACACACACACACCCGCCAGGCCCTCCCTAGCCACCTCTGCCCACAGCACCCAACGGGGCTGATCACCGTCCAGCCACAGTCTTTCGCAGCAGACCTCTCAAGCCCTCCCCTGTGGCCCCTTCACCACCCTCCCCTTCGCCTGGCTCTGTGGCCTGGTCTGGTGTGCTCCCAGCTCCAGGCTCACAATCTCGTGGTGTCCACAGAACATCTCCAACGGGGTGGCACCTCAAACCACACAGCTACAATCACTAACACTCTGACAAGCTGGAGACTGTACCAAGCGTTTTTACCTCATCTCATTTAATTCTCACAGTAGCCCCATAGATTTTAATAAGTAACTTTCCCAACGTCACCGAGCTAGCGCAGGACAGGGTCCAGACTCAGGCCCATGGAAGAGTGTGACTCCAAAGTCCACACTCTTGGTCCCTGTGCAATACCACCGTGGGTAACAGTCAATGTCTCCCACAAAAGCCCCATCTCTTCTACCACTGTTGTCGCCCTCAGCTCTTTCCTCCACTTCGTGCCCGGCCACAGTCTCATTCTCATCCTCCAGTTTCTCCCCCTAATGGTGTCTCACATCCATCTGCTCCTCGCCAGCCCTGGGGCCACTGCTCTGGTTCCACCCTTATCTCCTCCAGCCTGGGCAGTAATGGGCTGCCCATGCCTCCAGGCCCCCCACCCAGCCCTCCAGTGCTGGCCCAATATTAATAATCACAAAATGCAGGCCCTCCCTTTGTTCATTCAGCAGTTGTTTACTGAGCACCTGCTACGTACCAGGCTCTGTTCTGGATGCTGGAGATACAGCAGGAAACAAACTGACAAAAGTCTCCTCTTCATGGAGCTGACATTGTGGTGGGAGGAGGCAGCAAATAGAAACAAACGGGGTGGAAGCAGGCAGGCAGACATGGTGGCCACAGGGCAGAGGAGGGCTGTGCCTTTTCCCCCTGTGTCTGCTAGGGCTGTGAGAGAGAATCTGCTCCAGGCCTCTCTCGGCTCCTGGGGGTTTGGTGGCAATCTTTGCATTCCTTGGCCTCTACTGCATCACCTCCATCTCTGCCTCACCCTCATGTGACATTATCCCAGTGAGTGTGTCTGTCTGACTCTCCCCTTTCGATAAGGACACCAGTCACATTGGATTAGGGGTCCGCCCTACTCCAGTATGACCTCATCATAGCTTAACTAATTACAGCTGCAATGACCCTATTTCCAAATGAGGTCACATTCTGAGGTACAGGTATAGGACTTCAATATTTGAATTTGGGGTGGGGGGCATATGAAGCTGCTGGAGGGTTTTGAGCAAAGGAGAGATGTGATCTGGCTTATGCACTCTGACTGATGGGTTGAAATAGTTCTTGAGTGGGCTCGTTCAAGAATTTTCTGTATGGATCCAAATTATATCTCAGTAAAGTTGATTTAAAGAAAAAAAAACTTTCCCAGGCTCCTTGGCTCTCCTCCAGTCAAGAACAAAATCTTTGGCTGAGCTCTTGAGGCCTGGGGTGGCCTGGTCCCCCATCCTGATACAGCCTTCTTGCCACCGCTCCCCAAGACCACTCATACACCACCAGGACCCCCAGTGCTTGCAGTCTCGGGGCCTCTGCACCCAGCTTTCCCCTCTACTTCCTTCCCCAAGTCCTCACAGCTTTAAGCCCAGCAGTTTGGGGGAGCAGAGTCTCATAATCAGACAGCTCTGGGGGGTGGGGGGAGATAAAGGCCATTTTGCCCCTACACTGCCCCAGCCCCGGGAAGCGGGGCCTCCAGTTTACTCTCCTGTAATTGGAGATATTGAGCACTGCGCAGGAATCCTGGTTGATGAAGAGAGAGATCCACCACCATGATGTTCCCCGTCCTGGGTCAGACGATGTGGGGGACACACACACACAAATACACCGAGACACAGATACAGAAGGACACAGGCACACACAGTTGCAGACAGACAGACACACAGACTCGTGGACGTACACGGGCACAGCGGGATGAGAGTGGAGGGGGGCCAACGTCAGAGACCGACAGGGACAGTGGACAGTGATGCAGAAATAACCTGTTTACCTCTCCCAGGTGTACCCAGGCTGCCTCCAGGCCCCCACAGGCCCTGCACCCCACCTGTCCTCTCCCACGAGCTAGTTCAGGACCTCTCCCCCCTCATCCATTGCAGGCACCAGAAGCAGCTCAAAATCATGTTCGTCGGGGGCCCCAACACCAGGAAGGACTACCACATCGAGGAGGGTGAGGAGGTAGGCCTGCGGACTGCCCCCTCCCGGACCCAGCCCTGGGGGAGGGGACACATCCTGTGCAAGGGCCAGAGCCTGTGGACAGGAGAGGGGATGGTCAGATGGCTGATGGGTGAAGGAGCTCCACCAAAATCACAGGGCAACATCGCTGCCTGGAAGCTGTGGGCGCAGTGACACCTTTGACAGCTCCCTCCCCGAAGGAACTCTGCTGAGGGAGCCCCGGGAAAGAGCCCAGCCTCTGTGGGTGTAAGAGGCTCTAGCTCTTGGGCATCGCCCCCTAGACACAGGGGCCATCCATGCTCCAGGTGGGGAGTGTCCTGGTCCCCTCTCCCCCAAACTTGAATATGCAAGATTGGCCTCCAGATGAGACTCAAATGTGGAGAGGGACATGGGTGCTCCTCTCTGGCCCCAGGAGCCAAGTTTTCCCGGAAGGGTTGGGGCTGGGAGGCCCCCTCCGTATCTAGAGGCACAAGACATGTCAGCTGCTAGGAGCTATTTGATGGAGCTGAGGGGGTGGAGGAGATATGCACTGAATACCCTTTTGTACCTTGAATTTTGAACTGTGTCTCTGTGTTACCTACTCCACAGTAAATAAACACAAGTAAAATTAAAAGAAAAAGATGGGCCCCCTTAAGGAGGGACACAGATGGGTTCCCAGCTATCAGAATCTCTGGTGGCAAAGGATCAGTATTGGGGCCCCCACCTATCATCCCGGGGGGTCTGTGCTGGGGTTTGAGATCCAGAGTCCAGCTTGGTCACCAGCCTCCACCACTACCACTGAGGTCTCAGCCGCAGCCAGGGACTACAGGGAGCACAGGAAAATCACTCACTCAGCAAATATTTACTGAGCCCTCAATGTGGGGGAGCAGAGCCAGTGAGGACCCCAGGCCAGCAGGGAGCAGCCTCTTCAAGGCAGAGCTGCCCATCCCTCACCCATCACACTTCCAGGGCCCCACACCTCTCCCAGCCGCCCGCTTCTCACAACACATCTCACTGGAGACCATTTTCCTCTGTGGAAAAAATCAGCAGGAAAATCCAAAACCACAGAGAGAAGACAGGATTGGATTGGGAGTGGCCACAGTAGGGGAGACAAGGCCGGTTGCAGGGTCTCTACTGCTTGCCTCAGTCAGCCTCAGGCCCCCCATCTTGTCTTCCAGAGGCTTCCACCGTTTGCCCTGGTCTCAGTGCCCATGACTCCCGTCTCCCTCCCTCCTTTCTTCCCTTCTTGCCCCCGTCACCTCTGCCCCATGCCCCACCTCGGGGTCTCCCCAAGCTGCTCTGGTGGTTGGGTGTCCACTTAGGGCCCAGACCATGCCCTGACTCAGCTGGGTGGTTGACAGATGTCCCCACTCTGGAGGGACACTCAGGTGGTTGGGAGGAATTTGGCTAGAGGTGGTTAGTGACGGCTTGGTATGACGCTGAGGTGGAGGAGAGTGGAGCCACAGGCTGTGGGAGGCTGCAGGGCTGAGGGTCAGCATCCTCTCTTTCCTACCTGTCCTCACCCAGCTGGAGCCTGGGGAGACTCCAGGTGGTGCTGTAGAAGCCGCCCTAGCCCCAGGGTCCAGGCTCCTCCCTGGTGAGAGAAGAAGAGTCACTGAGCCAGATTTTCCTCCGGGCTGAGCTCTGGCCTCTGCAACAGCCCTGCCAGTGCCCCGGCTCCACCCACCACACCCACTGCACTTACCCCACTCCTTCCCTTGGGGCGCACAGGTGCAAGGGGCCTGGGCTGGGAGTCGGCTGGACCTGGGTTGGAGTCTCTGCCTCTTACTAATCATGTGATCTTGGACAGGTCCCATCACAACGCCTCTGAGCCTGTCTCTTTACAGCCCATGGGGATGCTGGCCCCTGCCTGGTGGAAGGATTAAACGTGTGTAGAGTATGTGCACAGAGCTGGCACAGAGTAAGGCTTAATATGCATTAGTTCTCTGTACCACCAGCCCTCTCGGGCCTTTCCTGCCTATAAGGCCTTTCCAGGCGGAAGAGGCCAGATTCAATTCAGTATCTGCCTGAGCCGGTATAGTTAATCCTCTAGCTAGCCCCAGGCTCCAAACTCATTTACTTCCAAACAGAGCATGATTCTTTTTAGATTGCCCATGGCTGTTTGGGATTTTCTGCTGTTCAAGATCTGCACCTCTGCTCCAGGCCAGGCCTGTTCCTCATCACAGGGAAGGCCTCTGGGCAGAGAGACAAGACGGAGGAAAAGTCCATTTCCTTTCTATGGCTTTTTTTTTTTTTTTTTTCCCCCCAAAGCCCCAGTAGATAGTTGTATGTCATAGCTGCACATCCTTCTAGTTGCTGTATGTGGGACGGGGCCTCAGCATGGCCAGAGAAGTGGTGCGTGGGTGCGGGCCCGGGATCCGAACCCCAGCCGCCAGCAGCGGAGCGCGAGCACTTAACCGCTAAGCCACGGGGTCGGGGCCGGCCCTCTATGGTTTTGTTTGATGGCCACTAACACCTTATAGCCTGCCGGGAAAGGGTTTGAATCTGGCCCAGACCATCACTTCAGACCCCTACTCCCACCCCAGCTTTCCCATGATATTTTCAGGGCCTAAGGGCTATGGCCCCCTCCTAGAACTCTCTAGGCCCTTCCTCCTCTCTCTCCCGGCTCCACACACCCAGGGGCTTCCTCCGAGCTAGGGAAGTGAGTGGAGTGGGTTTGCAGAATTGCTCCGTAAGAGAGCCTGGTAGGTTTTTTCGTTATCTGTTTTAAATAACTTGCATGGGTTATTTTTAATAATAAAAGTAAATATTGCTTATTGTAGAAAACGTGAGAAATATAGAAGACAATTATATACCCCATTCACAATCCCACCACTCAGGGGAACCACTGTGAACACTGCCTGCATTTATACGTGTATTGCTACGTAATTAGAATCCCGCTGGGTGTAGTTTTGAATCTTGCTTTAACATGATAACTTTAGCATTTTCCATTCTTCCATTTTATTAATAGTTATTCAAAAACATAATTTTTAATGGCTGCATAATGTCCCATATTTTGACTCTATCATAAAATATTGACATTTCTCCTATTATTGTTAGCATTATTTTTGCTATTCTTGCTGTTACTGAACCAGGTTTGTTTTTGCCCACCGCCCAGAAAGCCAAACACCAAGACAACGAGATTGCAGCAGAGAGAGGGTTTAATCACAAAGCAGCCAAGTGAGGAAAATGGGAGAACAACTCTCAAATCCACCTCCCCGAAAATAGGGACTCAGGGATATTTATGGGGTAGGGGGCAAGGTGGTCTGAAATGTGGAGACAGATGATTGGAGGTGAGGAGAGGTGAGGTAATGGATGATCTGTGCAAGCGTAGTCAGACTTCATGCCTCTTCAAAGGATGCGTGTTCACAAAATGACGGCATTGGCATGATCTGAGGGTGGAGTTTTTAGCCTCTTGACGTCAAAAGGTCGCTTGTCAGACATCTTCTCGGGCCCAGTTGATGGGTTGGTGGTCTCAACCGGCCTGAAGTGGACAAGGGGCTCTAATTCCTGAAAAACAGCTCAAACATCCACCACTATGGTGACCCAGGCTTCAAGGAGATGTTATCTATAGGAACCTAGTGGGAGTCAGATAGCATATTGCCTAAACAGCGCAGTTAACAATGGGCGGGGGAGACAACTAAAAGCTACAATCAGTAATTGCAAAAAGGAAAAAAAACTTTAGTTCCTAGTTACTTAATCATCAATGGCTAACTGTTTGCTGGTTTCATTGCCATCACTAATATTAGTAACTAGAGGTTTATTGAGTGTTGACTATGTGCTGGGTACATTTGTGGACAGCGTCCTAGACAGACTTCACAGCAACATTCTGAGTAGACACTGTCATTTTATAGATGAGGAAATGGAGGCACAGAAAGGGTAACTGAACTGACCAAGGGTACACAGCGACTTGGCCAAGCTGAGAACCAGGTGACACTGGAATCTATACTTTTAACTACCATGCGCTGTGATCAACAGCCATGTATGGGCACCACGAGGCAGGTGCATTTCTGATTTGCTGCAGCCACGTTCCTAGAGGTGGAATTACTAGGTCAAGAGTGTAAGGTGGCCAACTGTCTGGTTTGCCCTGGACTTTCCTGGTTTCAGCACTGAAGGTGCTACATCCCAAGAAACCCCTCAGACCATCCTGCAGGGGTGGGAGCTGTGAAGGCTCTTCCTGCCCGCTGCCAAATTGCCTTTCAGAGGGGTTGTGTCAACTTGCCCTTCATGGCAGACCGTAAAGCCACATTTCTCTGGTTTCTCTGAGCTTGGCTTGATTTCTCAGTACACATAGTCATGTGTCGCTTAATGACAGGGATATATGTTCTGAGAAATGCGTCGTTAGGCGATTTTGTCATTGTGTGAACATTAAAGGGTGTATTGAAGGGGAACAAAATGTGTCTCTAGGGTTTGACCCCAAAATGTGTCTCCTTAACATGAGGATTATTTTAGGCTGATTGTGTTTAAGAAACAAAAGACTCCAAGTTTTTCTTGTTTCCTCCTCCTTAACTGCTTAAAAAAATTCAGATAAAAACACCTGTCTCAGGAAGCAAGCTATCACCTTACTATAACGTGAACTAGGTGGTGGACAGGGAGGAACCTAGAAAAGCCTGTTTGTTGGGCTCCCCTCTGTATTCTTCTGTTTCTGTGTGGCCAAACACTTGTTTTCCAAACATGTGTTCCTTTTCACCTACCTGTGAATTGCCTCCTTCCCTTTGAAGTCCCTGACTCTTCTCACCCCCAACATCTTCTTTTGTCTTTAGCTGAGGATGGTATTTAAGGTGAGGGCTTCAGCCATTCTGGCAAGTTACTTGGTTTTTCTGGGTTTCTCTCACATATACATGTTATTAAACTTTTGTTTGTTTTTCTCCTGTCAATCTGTCCCATGTCAATTTAATTCTTAGACCAACCAGAAGAACCTAGAAGGGTAGAGGGAAATTTCTTCCTCCCCTACAGTACTTACACAAACCCAGATGATGTAGTCTATTACACACCTAGGCTATATGGTACTAATCTTATGGGACCACTGTCGTATATGTGGTCCATCTTTGACTGAAACGTCGTTATGCGGTGCATGATTGTAGATGCTGTGACAAGAACCTCTATCTCCTCTAACTCCTTACATGATAATAATAATTATTATTATTAATAACACCCCTTCAACTCTTTGGCTGGGGCTTTTAACACCCGTGCAATGTGTGACTGGTGGAGAGAAAACGTATCTGCTTCCTCCTCCTCCCAGCTCCATGGGGTGATCTCAGTAAACACATTAATTAGGGACTGAGGATGGAATGGGAAAAATGCAGTAGGAGCCCTCCCACTCCAGGGAGATAGCAGGAGGCAAGGGCTCCCATCCCCCACAGCCCCCAACCCACCCCAGCTTCCAGCATCATTGAGTCCACCATTTACTGGCTGACCTCCAAAGGGATTTGGATAGGCACAGCCCCACCCCATGCCAGGGCATCACAATGGCCAGAGGAGCCAGCACAGTCTCCAAAGCTACACGCAGACTCGGGTCCAAACTGTAGCTCTAGAACTAACTGTGTGACCCTAGGCAAGTTGCTTTACTCTCTGAGCCTCAGTCTTCTTTTTTTCTTTTCTGCAGAATGGGGCTACTAATACCTTTGGAGGTTGTTATGAAGCCTTCTGATAATGTATAGGAAAGTTCTTGCACAGCCCCTGAGCCACAGTAAATGGGTGGTTCTCCTTACCTAGCTGAAGGGTCACTGAATTCTCCAGTGAGCATCTCAGCCAGCCTCCTGCCCCTAACCCAGACACCAACCGTCCTGTCCTGGGTACTTTGGTCATCAGTTGTGGGTCAAGATGTGATCCTTGTGTGTCCCCAGCACTCCTGTCTGTGGCATGTGTCAGGGGAGGCTGGGGCCTCAGGGCAGGAGTGATGGAGCTGCTCATACCCTCTGAGGCCTTCAGGAAGTTTCTCAGGTTTCTCGGTCAGAATTCAGGCCAAGGACCTGGAAGAGGGAGCAAGGAGAGTCCAAGCCTGTCTCCTGTCTTGTCCCACAGGTGTTTTACCAGCTGGAGGGTGACATGGTTCTCCGAGTCCTAGAGCGAGGGAAGCACCGGGATGTGATCATTCGGCAGGGAGAGGTGAGGCTGGGCCCCAGGGGGCGGGAGGTGAAGGGCCGCCAGACAGGAACCCACCATGTCCACTCATCCTGGCTTTGGTTGAGGCCTTGTCCTCCCCACCTTTCCCTGCCCTCCTACCCACCCAACCTGCCCTGGCCCCATCCTCAGGCACTTCCCCTTCTAAGCTGCCCATCCTCCACACAGCCCGACTGTCCCTCCAGTTCCCCGGGTAGAGGCCGGGCAGAGTGCTGGGCTGGGCTGGATCCTGTGGGTCAGCTGGGGAGGCCCAGGACGCTGCAGGCACTGAGGTCTCCGTGGGGGGATTGCAGCCTTCCTGGCACCTTGTCCACACCCACTGCAGATATTCCTCCTGCCCGCTGGGGTCCCCCACTCTCCACAGAGGTTTGCCAACACCATGGGGCTGGTGATTGAGCGGAAGCGGCTGAAAACGGAGCTAGATGGGCTCAGGTAAATGGGCCTTGTCTGGGGGTCTGGGGCTGAGAGAGAGAAGGCAAGCAGAAGAAGAACGGATCCCAGATACACCCAAGAAAGCACTTCCTGGCCACTGAAAGGGTTGGAGGCAATGAAGATCCTGTATTTGCTGGCTGATGGGGAAGGACTAGGGCAGGTGGTGGGGTGGGTTTCATGATGGGGTGGGATGTTCTCTGTGACCTCCTGGGAGCCCACTCATCTTGAAGACCTTCTGGCTGGGACCAGAACCTGTGCTTTCCCCGCTGAGGTCTGCAGGGGGGTCGGGGTGGGGGGAGCCAAAGTCAGATGCTCCTGGCCCAGGGCAGCCCGGGACACTGCTGCTTCTCCCAGCCTCCAACCCCAGAGCTTATTCAGTCTCCGCCAGCGCACCCTTCTGCTTGTTTCCCTCCCCCAGCTCACTCCACAACCAGCGCTAACATTTGTATAACATTCGCTGTGTGCTGGGACCAAGCTAAGCACTTTGTATGTATTTATTCATTTAATCCTCACAGTGATCCTGTGGGGTAGGTACTGTTATCATCTGTACTTTACAGATGAAGAAACTGGGCACAGGAAAGTCAAGTTTGCTAGAAAGTGGCAGAGCGGGCATTATCGAGAAATATGAAGTTAGGGCCAGGACAGTCTAGACAGGAGTGCGAGCCAGCACCAGGGAGTGGATGAACACCGGGGCAGAGATGGCACTCTGTTCCATAGCTGAGTTCCCATTTGGTTCCAATCAGTCACCTGATTATCATCCTCTGAAAGGAGGACACAGCCTGTGGCTCAGGGGGACACAGATTTTTCCAAAAGCTAAATAATTTTTTAACTAAGAAAATTAAAATTTCCCAACAAGTTACTGGGGTCAGGATACTCTGCCTGACATCTTCTGTTATAATGGACATTTTTTAATGCTTCTCTTTTTTCTAATTACCAAAATCATACGTGTTCAGTCTTGAAATCTGGAAAAGTACAAGAAAGTAAAATGAACAGAATTAAAATTACTTGTCAGGAAGAGGGTGAATTTTATGGTATGTAAATGATATCTCAATAAAACAAAATAAACAATAATAAAGAGAAAAAAATTTGTCATCCCACCAATTAAACCTAACGAAGCACTTAAACTTCCATCTTGTCTTTTTTCTATGCATATCTACACCTTACACCATTGCAGTCTTATTGCATGCGTGGATGTGAGTTTTGCTTTTTTTACGTAAAAAAACTCGTGAGTAATTCTCTTACTATTAAATACTTTTCAAAAAACACAAGGTTAACGACTGTATGCTAATCTACTGCATAATAGTCTGTTGTAGAGACAGATGCCCGGCCTTAAATTCTAAAAGAAATTTTTCACATGGCGCTTTATGTAGAGAGTCTTTAGTGATGGAGAGGAAGGTGTCCTCAATAACATTTTTACAGCAAATTCAATAACAGATTTCATCTGGCTGCTTTTGACCTTTAATAAAAGCCAGGGACTCGACATTAAAATGCCACTCTGAAGGGAATTCCTGGAGGACATCGCCATCCGGTTATGAAGCTTTCTGGTGGCTGGCTCCATCCCAGGATAGAACTTAGGGTGCTGGGCAGGGTGAATGTACTGTGTGTCTGTAAACCATCTCCCATAAACAGGACCACTTCTCTCTTTGGGAGGAGGTAAAGAGCAGACAGAGCTGGCCTGGCCCTGGGAGCTGAGCCCCAGGATCAGGCATTCAGTCAATAGATGTGCTGCGCACACAGGGGCCTGAGGCACAGCCCCAGTCTGCTGAGCCCAGCTGGGGGCTTGGGCAGCTTCAGGAAATCTACTAGTGGCTCTGTGTACATGCATAGGGACCTTCCTCTGGAGAAGAAGCCCAGCACTTTGCTCCAGTTCTCAAAGGCATCCATGACCCCGAAAGCAGAAGGACCCCTCCTCTGGGCACATCTTTCCCATGGTGGTTCCCTAAGGTTCCACGTGCTCTGACCTGGAGGAGTCCAGCTGCGGGTGCTGGATTCAGACTCAGCCTCGACTTCCTCTTTGGGAAAAATGAAGCCGCTTGTCACTGATGCTGACTGTGCTTCTCAGGCTGTCTCGACTCTATCCTGCTTCTGCCACTTACAGGCTGTGTAATCCCTGCCAAGTCACCCAGCTTCCCTGAGCCTGAGTTCTGTCTCCTTTGTCAATGGTCCAGTTTGGGGAACCAGGAAGAACTATTCAAATGGGGTCGATAGTAGCCCTCCCACTGTGGGGCACCCGGCGTGCTTCAGGGCGAGCCGGGTATGGGTGTGCCAGCACTGACCACTAGGTTGCACTAACAGGGTGAAGCAGGCAGCCAGCTCTGCAGGGCGGGTCAGGGCCCAGACGTCTACAAGCAGAGCCAGGCCTGCAGGAGGCTGCTCTGAGGCCGCCCAGGTGGAGAGCTGGGTTGCCCTTGCTTTGCTCTGGCAGGTACTACGTGGGGGACACCACAGACGTCCTGTTTGAGAAGTGGTTCTACTGCGAGGATCTCGGCACACAGTTGGCCCCCATCATCCAGGAGTGAGCCCCCAGCCCAGCCCCCGCCCCTCACTCTCCTGAGACCCCATGCTCTGGCGGGGGAGGGCAGACCCATCCCAGCAGTGCTCTGCAGCAGCACCTGCTGGACTGGAACCATCACACCCGGGATTTAGGGAGAAAGTCTGCCCCTCCTAGGGTGGGAGGGCACGGGCTGGAGTGCCCCCTGGGGAGGGGAGGGGGCTGCTCCACGAGCCTGGGAGGGAGGGGATGGCAGATATTCAGTGAATTGTGTGAGGGCCCACGAGTGTGTGTGGGCTCCTGCGCCCAAGAGTGCGTGTGTGTGTGTGTGTGTGTGTGTGTCTCACTGGCAGCTCACTCAGGAACGCTGGCCACTCCTCCTCCCCGTTTGTTCCTGCAGGTTCTTCAGCTCTGAGCAGCACAGAACAGGAAAGCCCATCCCCGGTGAGGCCACTGGGAACCATCTCTCTCCCTCCCTCCCTCCTTTCCCAGAGTAGGAAGAGTCTTGGCCCAGAGTACCAGGGAGTCTCCTTTTGAGTACTCTGCCCAGTACTCAGGGTATGAGAAAATGACACCAAATAGTACCCCCCACATGGCTGCGTGGTCCTTGAGCTGGATCCAGAGCCCATTCTGGCGATTGAGAGCTGGGGCCCCTGGGAACTGGGCCCACTGGGGCTGGACGGGCTGGGCCAGAGGACACTGACCACGCTGTGCTGTGGGTGCAGACCAGCTGCTCAAGGAACCGCCGTTCCCCCTGAGCACACGATCCATCATGGAGCCCATGTCCCTGGAGGCCTGGCTCGATGGCCACCGCAGGGAGCTGCAGGCGGGCACACCCCTCAGCCTGTTTGGGGACACCTATGAGACCCAGGTAATGCAGCCCTGGGCCACCCAGGGCTTCCACCCAGCTGCCCCAGGAAATGGGAACTAATCACACATACACACACATGCACACACTAGTTTCGGAGGTGGACGTGGACATAGGCCTTCCTGTTTCCTCCCTGATTCAGAGAATGATGGCTTTGCTATGAGTGGAAGCCTGTGGAGGCTACGTGGTCCCAAGTGATCTTTTTTGCCTTCAGAGTTGGGGGTTGCCCCTCCACTGACAGGTTCCTGAGGGTCTAGAGTTATCCCCCTGCTAGGAATTCCTGAGCCTTTGGCCAGTCACAGACTTGGGAGCTGGAAGAAAGAGGTATTTGGGGTGCGGGTTGGGTGGAGAGGTGCCCAGAGAGAGACTCAAACAAAGCTGGCCCTCTTTCATTCAACATTTATTGAGTGCCTATTATGTTTCAAGCTCTGGTAGGAAAATAAGATAGCGTCACTGCCTCAAAGAGTGTGTGGTCTGGTAGCAGACAAGTTAATCAACAATCACAATCATGTGATACGTTATTTGGTAGAGAAGCTTCAGGAAGCCATAGGAGGATAAAAGAGGAACCCAGGCTGGGAGGGAGGTCAGGGAAGGCTTCCTAGAGGAGGTGGTGTATAAGGTGCATTTTAAAGTGGACATAGGAGTTTGCAAAAGGAAGAAAGGGAGATGAAGAGAGCACTCTAGGTAAGGGAGAAGCATGAGCAAAGGCATGGAAGCTTGAAACAGCCCGGCAGTGCAAGTAGCTGAAGTTGGCGGAAGCCAGGGCAGGGAAGTGGCAGGAGTGGCAGGCAGTGTCCAGGTCCTGGCAGGTCTCCTGGGCTGGGCAAGGTGCAAGGACTTATGCTGGAGATAATAGAGCTTCACCCTAGCATTGAAGAAGGAGGATGACAAGGCCAGAGTGGTGTTTCAGAAAGGTTACTGTGCCATGTGTGGGGACGGGGTCAGGAGGGCAAGGAGACCTGCTAGGAGGCTCATGTTCTCTTGTGCTTTACAATTTGCCACTGGCATGTCCCCTGCAGTTTGAATTAGACACCCCCGTGGAGGGATGCTCGCTGGATACAGACCTGCCCTTAGAGGCCTGGCCAGCAGACACAGAGCTTACACAGGGCTGTGAGAGCAGGTGCACACCACAAAGCCCCTCACACTCCATCACACAACGTCCTTCAGTGCCCAGCTGGCCTCATGGCCCCACCTTCCGCCTCTTCCACACCCCTGCTCCTACCTGCTTCAGTTTACACCGACAGATATTGACTGAGTCCCATCTGGGCCAGTGGGAGCGCGGCCTGCACAGTAGCTGTGGGCTCCCAGGCTGATGCAGGTCAGAGAGGCTCAGTCTCCCTCTCGCTCATCCCCTCCCATCTCCCTCCTCCTCCTCCTTAGGCCAGAATCTCACGGAGGAAGGGAGGTGGGCACCCTTTGGGGAACACACGTGTGTGCTACATGGGTCTGCACTATGCTGTGTACGCACGTGTGTGTGTGTCCCTGGCGTGCCCCTGGCAGGCATGCCTTCATAAGGGTCAGCATAGTTGTGACGTGTATCGGGGAACCAGGTGTGTGTGTGTGAGAAGGGCAGGCACGTGTGATCCCGAATAACAGGTGGGCAGCACCCATCGTGATGAAGGCAGCTTTCCTCTCCAAGTCCTGGTTGTGTTGTGGGCCCCACTCCTGCCCCACATAGGCCTGGTGACTGGGGGCCAGGTTCAAGGCCATCTCCTATGTGGGGCATGAAGCACCAGGAGGATCTGTATCACTTCCTACCAGGTGATTGTCCACGGACAAGGCAGCAGCAAAGGCCTGAGACAGGACGTGGACGTGTGGCTGTGGCAGCTGGCAAGTGGGGCCCCCAGGAGAGGGTGGCAATGTCCTGCCCATGGGGACCAGGCTGCTCCTGGGCCTTGGACTCTCATAGCCCAGACAGGCCCCCAGGGCCTCCTTGCCAAGGCAGATTCAGAGACAATTGGGCAGGTGCTGAGGTCCGGCAGCCTCCATTTGATTCCCCTGCTCCTCTTTCCAGAAGGGCTCCTCCGTGGTGACGATGGGGGGACAGTGCCTGAGCCTGAACCCCGATGATAGCCTCCTGGTGCCAGCCGGGACTGTGTGAGTACACAGGGAGGACTTTCCCCAGGCTGTGGGACCGCCCTCCTCTCCCTGGGGTCCTCAGGGCCCAGCCTTGTCTGAGCCCTGCTCACCTGTGTCTCCACAGGCATGCCTGGGAGCGAGGGCAAGGCTCTGCAGCCCTGGCTGTGACCCAGGACCCTGCCTGCAAGAAACCCCTGGGGTGATCCTCTTGCTGTGGACCCAAAGCAGCCACAGGGTGTGCCCGAGCACCACCTCTTCCAAATAACTCTCCCAACCCCACTGCTTCTGCCTGTACTGCTGCTAAGTGACTCAGTGTCCCTGACACTGGGCCCTGGACAACATTGTCATCCATCCTCCTCCTGTTCCTCTCGGCTGGGATGCCAGGCTCCCAGGGGGCTGGTCACTCCCTTCTCCTGTAACAGCCCTCTGCCCTGAACAGTCCTGCCTGGTGGTCTGCCCCCTGAGGCTGGGCTGCCTCCCCATCCCTCTGTCTCCAGCGCAGCACTTGCCTGCCACCAAGAAGGCCCTCAATAAAGGCTTCCTGGTGGACGGGCGCCTGGGTCTGCGTGCACACAGGCCGTCATCGATGACAGACCCCGTGTGCTCCCATGACTGTGTGTGTCTGGGGTGCCAGGGGCACCGGGTGACCGTGGACGGTCTGTTATTGGGTGTCCCTGCTCGTGGAGAGGCTCTCATCACTGTGTGTGTTTACATACATTATCTCATTTAATCCTCACAACTCGGCCGGCCCTGTGGCTTAGCGGTTAAGTGCGCGCGCTCCGGTGCTGACAGCCCCGGTTCGGATCCTGGGCGCGCACCGACGCACCGCTTCTCCAGCCATGCTGAGGCCGCGTCCCACGTACAGCAACTAGAAGGATGTGCAGCTATGACATACAACTATCTACTGGGGGCTTTGGGGTGAAAATAAATAAATAAAATCTTTAATCCTCACAACTCTCCAGGAACGTGGTAGCCCCCCATTTTACAGATGAGGCTCAGAGAGGTTTGGAAAGCAGGCAGTTCTGTTTCCATCCCAGACCTGTCTGCATTCAAAGCTCAGGCTGGTGGTCTCACTACACTTCACCCTGTGGTCGCAGCCTATCTGCCCTCACCCTTGGCCAGATGGGAGCCCAGGGCAGAGGAAAGACCTGGAGGATCTGTGGGAGAGGGGCCAGCAGCCACCTGCCTGAAACCTGGAGGCCTAGGCAGAGTTGGCAGCACATGGCACTCTGCTGACCACAGCCAGTTGGCAAGGGGTGGGCAAGGTTGTCAGGTCCTAGAGCCTGGAGCCACAGCCTCTCTTGGTACTGTCCCGGCTATCAGGAGCCGAGGCCCTCACCTCTGCCCACAGGCCTGGCCCCATGGGCTCATGAGAACACCACACAGTGGGAGAGCAGGACTTGTACCTTGTCTGAAGCCAGCCCCAGCCTCCCGTTCCCCTCTCTGCAGTAAATACTGGGTGATGGCAGAGTGGGGTGAACAGTGGCAAGGAGACTCAAAGATTCTCAGGATTGCTTTGTCTGGGGGAGACGCCTCCAGGTCTCTAGGTCATGACAGCAGAAACTTGGCAGGGGAGCCTTCTGCCTGTGGCATATACTTGGATGTGGACTTGGGACCATCACAGACTTTGGAACCATCAGCAATCTGGGAGTAACTACAGCAGGCTGGCGGTCAAGGTGTTGACTGGACTCCAGGCCTCCCTCTCCACAGTCCCTGCTGCCAGAGCTGGTGGGGGCAGGGAGGCAGCCACCCAGCCTGTATATATAATGGGCGGCGGGGATGCATGTCCAGGGTGGCCTGCTGTGATCCTGAGAGCTATGGGTTGCCAGGACCAGCTCCTGCCTTCAGGCAAACAAATGTCTGATGGCTCAGAGCTGCGAACACTCCCCCACCTCACCCCAGCTGGGCCTTCCTCCCACCTCAGGGTCTCCCTGGGTCTCCATCTCACCCCTGCTGAGCCCTACATCCTCCTCTGCCAGGGGCAGCAAGATTCCACCCCCCAGGCTGGGTTCAGACACCTCCTCGGCAAATCACTCAGTACGTGGGGGAGGTGGGGAGGGAGGGAGAAAGGGAGGGAGGAGTACAGGGTTCCCCTTGCCTGCAAACAGGAACATTGGTGTTTCTCAGTGGCTGTGAGAACGCTGATAAAACCCCAGGATATTGAGTCATTGTGGTGGCCAGCTGATTGTGAGCACTCATCCCCGAACACTCATGCAGGGGTAGAAAGACTCCGGAAACATCTCTCAGGTACACGGCCCAAGCAGCCCATGGAATTTCATAACCTGAGCTCTCCCTCTCTCCTTCCTTCTCTCTCTCCCTCCACTCTCCCTCCCTCTCCCTCCCCCTCTCCCTCTGCCTTCACCACTGCCTTGGGATCACCTGGAGAGACCTCGGAGGCTCCCTGCCACCCAGCCTCTTCCCCCACCGTGTATGCCTTCCTGGCGCCCATCCTGTGCGTGGAGTTTGTCCTGGGCCTGGCGGGGAACAGCTTGGCACTCTTCATCTTCTGCTTCCGCACGCGGCCCTGGACATCCAGCACGGTGTTTCTGGTCAGCCTGGTCATTGCTGACTTTCTCCTGATCATCAACCTGCCCTTTCGCGTGGACTACTACTTCCTCCACGAGATCTGGCGCTTTGGGGCCACCGCCTGCAAAGTCAACCTCTTCATGATGTCCACCAACCGCACAGCCAGCGTGGTCTTCCTCACGGCCATCGCGCTCAACCGCTACCTGAAGGTCGTGTGGCCCCACCACGCGCTGAGCCGGGCCTCAGTGTGGGCAGCCGCCAGGGTGGCAGGGGGACTCTGGGGGGTGATCCTCCTCCTCAACGGGCACCTGCTCCTGACCGCCTATTCCAGCCACTCCTGCCTCAGTTACCGGCTGGGCACGAGCCCCTCAGCCTCACTCCGGTGGCACCAGGCACTGTACGTGCTGGAATTCTTCCTGCCGCTGGCACTCATCCTCTTTGCCATCGTGAGCATCGGGCTCACCGTCCGGCGCCGCGGCCTGGGCAGGCAGGCGGGCCCACAGAGGGCCATGCGCGTGCTGGCCGTGGTGGTGGCCGTCTACACTGTCTGCTTCTTGCCCAGCATCATCTTCGGCATGGCTTCCATGGTGGCCTTCCACCTGCATGCCTGCCGCACCCTCGACATCTGCTCGCAGCTCTTCCACGGCTCCCTGGCCTTCACCTACCTCAACAGCGTCCTGGACCCTGTGCTCTACTGCTTCTCCAGCCCCAAATTCCTCCGTCAGGGCCGGGCCCTGCTGGGCCTCCCCCAGGGCCGGCAGGACTCAGCCAAGGACGACGAGAGCTCCTACCAGTCGCCTGCTTGGCGCCGGGAGGCCTCTAGGAAGGCGGAGGCCGCAGGGAAGCTGCAGGAGGCCGTCTCGCTGGAGGTCTCCCTGGCGTAAGGAGGGCCCTCCCAGGCCTGTTGCAGTGCCGCAGGAGTGAGGACGCCAGGCCCTGGGCTGGAGGGACAAGGTCACTCTCTACACTGTTGCCAGCACAGGCTGCCTCAACCAGCTGGACAAGGGACGTCTGCAGGTGGGTGGCAGGGAGAGAAACCGTGTTGGCTTTACAGTGTAGTGTGTCCAGGACGATGTCCCCAGAGCACAGGAAAGAGCCTGAGGGCAGCAGAGACAGGCAGCGGCTGTGGGGGCTCTAGCTCAGACAAAGGGCCACATAGCTGCCCAGTCCCAGGGCCAGAGCATGCTTACTGTGAGAGGAGAAGTCTCGCTTTAGAAATCAACAGCCAGATTTTCTGTGATCTCCAGTTTGTTCCTTTACAATGCTAATAAACATCCTTTTGAAAATGCAAGCCTGTCTCCCCTGTTCTAAGGAAAACCGAATAAATGTCTTCGGGTCCATCCAGCCCTGGCGTCAGTAGGGTTCAAAGCGAGGGCCCCAAGATGAAGAGACACTCTGAGGACAGAGTGGGGAATCTGTCCAAGGCACCGTCCATCCTTCCACATTGCTCCTGGAGCCTTGGCGAGTCCTTAAAGTCAGAACGCTTCCCTGCGTGAGGTCCTCAGGCTCACAGGATGCGCAGCCCACCTGGACCCCTGGGAAACCCCTGCTCCTCTCTGGCTTTCAGCTCTCCTTCTGCCATTATCCCAAGGTCCTGCCCAAGGCACCAAGGACCCTGCCCTGCTCTCCCCTGGGACAGTGTGGGGATCTTCAGCCTTGGCTGTTACCACGTCCATCCAGTTCAGGCTCCTGGCTCAGCTTGGGCTCCCTCCCATGGCTTCCCTCTGCCCCAAGTACCCTTCCCTGGAATGTGTGGTGGCTGCTGCCCCACCATGACAGGGCCCCAGGCAAGGGCAGGGGCCTCAGGGTCACCAGAGCTGGCTCATAGCCCTCCCTCAGGACCAAAGCCATCTTGCCCACCTCTACCCCTGTCTGTTCTGTTCAGTGTGCCTGTGGTCAGTGTCTGAGACTGTCTGGGCTAACCCACCCATTGGCCTGGGGCCCCCAGGCACAAGGTGTGCACCTGACATGAATCAGGGGTTTCTTTTTGTGTGTGAGGGGAGCGGGGGTAGTGGTTGGCCCTACGGTCCACAGGGGATGTCACCGGGTGGGAGAGGAGGGTGCATAGCCTTCAAGGCTTCCAAAGAGCTAGAGGTCCCTAAAGTCCCAAACATGCACCTCCTGAACCCTGTGTGTCACCAGCCCTAGCCACCTCAGGGGAATGAACACCTCCCCCCAACACACATGCCCCTCCCTGTAGAGGGAGACAGAAGGGGCTGGGACTGGTTCTCCACTCATCACCCCAGCCATGGGCCTCTAGGCCTCAGGTACAGGGTGTGATGAAGGGGACCAAATCCCTCTCCCCAATTCCTTTGGAGTTTTAATCCTCTTAGTCCAACCCTCTCATATCATGGACAAGGATACTTTCCCTCTGTTAAAATCCTCAGGAATGGAGCCAAAGCCGAGAAGAGTCACCCACACCCCAGGAGGGAGGCATTCAGGAGCAATGTGGATGTTGGGGTGGGAGATGGGGAGAATGTATCAGGCGGCGGGGTATGACCTGGGGGAAATGGGTTGGGTGGATATTGGAGCCCATCTCCCCACTGTGTCTCCAGCCCTTTTCTCTTTTCTGAAAACTCACCGGCTGCTCTCCGAAACCCGCAGAGATGCTGAGAACCCAAGCCAAGTGGTGGAAAGGGATGTGCTGCCTGGGCCCCTCCAGTCTTTCTGACCCCCATGGCCCCTGCTTCATTGCTCCATCTGTTGCTGCCTTTTTCATCCTGCTAGAGCCATTGCTAGGGACTCCCCACCTCCCCACCTTTAGCCACCATGGGGAGGAGCAGGCCAAGCCTGGGCCAGCCCAACCTCAGCCTGAGATTTGTAATTTCCAAGTCAGACATTTTTATGAGAACCAAACACTCCTGGAGGCTGGGGACTGAGCACTTCCTAGTGGAGCCCTCACCACAGGAGCACTAACACATGCTGTCTGCTGATCACCAGGCACCTTCCATCCAGTACCATCTCTTCCCATGTTTGTACCTGCCTGGGTTCTGTGGGCAACTGGGGCTCCACATGCCATTTCCTCCGTCTTCTCTTCCCTGGACCCCTCTCCTCAACACCGCCATCAGGTCCCCCCACCCCTCTCAGCACCTGGGCTCAGTCTCCCCTGCCTGATGTAAGAGAAATGACCAGACAGTCCCCCTGGCTTACATGCACTGCTGTCTCTCCGCTTGAGGAGCCCCTGGGTAGATGCTGGTCACAGGGATCAGGCCCATGCTCCTAACTTGCCCTGGGTCCTCCTTGCCCCTCATCTTAAAGTTGAGGACTGCTCCCTCACGGACAAGCGAAGCCACACCACCCTTCACAAGGCCCTCTCTAAGGGGGGTCTTGGTGTCCCCCCATGGGAGAGAAGCAGACTTCAGGCTGCCACCATGCTCCCCCCACATGGAAGGACTCTCTGGTCCTAAACTTGGCCCCAACCCACTGTACCCCTCTTGGGACTTAGTTCTCCATCTGTGAAATGGGAACAGTGATCCTGGCCCTTGCCTAACTCCAGGAGTTGGAGATGGAAATAACCGATATGCCAGAGCCCTGAGTGAGGAAGGTAGTTTCATGTGTGTGGTGGGGGTGAGGGGGGCGGTGAGAAAGGATGGGAGAGGAGGAGGAGAAAGCAAACTGTGTTGAAGTGCAGAGTTTTCTACATACAGGAGGGTAATGACCATGGTGGAGGCAGGCTGAGTAAAGACTCAATTTCCTACATTTGGGTTCCAAATAGCATCTTGGTCCCCGGGGTGGACTGTACTATTTAGTGTAAATGTTAGACAGCACCCTTCTCTCTCCTCTTTCTCCTAACGTAACCCGCTGTCACCCTGAGGGACGAGCAAACAGCATCTATGACTTTACCCCAGAGACTCCTGTGCAGGGGTGAGCAGGCAAGGCTGGGCTGATGGCCCCAGAGCCACTAATCATCCAGTGTTTACTGGGCACCCACCAGGGGCCAGACACTAAGCTACAAAGGCAGTTAATATGACTCTGACCTTATGCCCCCCCAGGCCAAGCCTGGGAGAGATAAACCTGCAAATGGATCAAATGCAATTCAAGTCAGTGTCATCCATGGTTTTCGAGGAAGTAATGCACCACTGAGAGCACAGAAGGTGGGAAGAGCTAACTCTACCTGGGTGTCAGGGAGGTGATGCGTGTGAACTGAATCTCAGAGGACAAGGAATGTAGTGGAGGGAACTGGATCCCTGGCGTAGGGAAGAGCATGAACAAGGGCACAGAGCTGTCAGAAGACTCGGTGTGCAGGGGAGGGCTGAGGGGATCACGGAGGCAAGAGAGGAAGAGGCCTAGGCACAGGGGTAAGAAATAGGCAGGAAAGGCAGGCGCAGCCCTGCAGGCTCAGGAGCCTGGGTTGGTCCTGCAGACAACCCACTATGGCAGGAAAGGGAGTGAGCATGAGATTTTTAAGGAGTCAAAGATGATCAGTTTTGCATTTTGATCAGTTACTCTGGTAACAGTGTGCACAGACTGGTGAGGGGGTGTGGGAGATGACCTAGGTAGGAAAGAGTCTGTATTCCAAGCAAGGGCCTGAATAGAGGCAGCGGTGGAGAGCGTGAAGGGCCAGGCGGACAGGTACAGCCCAGGAGAGGAAGAGAAGTGACTTTTTTGGATGATGGGTGCATGGTGGCACATTGAGGATACAGGTGGTGGAGCAGGTTTGGAGGAGAAGATACAGAGTTAAGATAAGTCAGAGGGACTTGGAGAAGCTCCAGGTAAAAATGTACTGTAGCACACTTCAGGCTGCACATAGGGTTCCAGAATCTTTCACGTAGCGATGGGAGTTGAGGTTATAGGAATGGATAGGGTCACCTGGGGAGAGAGCGAAGAGGGCCAAGAACCATCCTTTTAAAAATCCCCACAAGTAAGAGACACACAAGGGAAGACTCGTGAAATGCCCAGAAGAAACCTTTAAGTAAGAAGAAAACCAGGAAGGCAGCAATAAAAAAGAGCATGAAAGAAGCCAAGGCAATCTCTCTGCCCAAGTAAAGAGATTGCCTATTAAAAAGAACAGAATAGAGCCAGCTTTTATGAGGGTAAAAGCCAAACATAAAATACCCAGACAGGCTGCAAAGTGCCTCATGCGAGAATAAAGCATTTTCAGAAGTTTCCTAATTGCATGCTGAAGAAAGTTGATTTGAAAACCAAAGTGTGTGTCTGACACTGTCTGACCAAGCATCTTGGATCAACACCCTGGATTAACAATGCATTGTCTGGTACTATTAAAAAAAAGGTTTTCAAGAAGTGATAGATTGTCGTTTGTATAAAATTTTATAGTATGCAAAACATGTTCTATATTGGTTATGGATTCATCCATATGTATTAATTGTATAAAATCATGCATTGGGATGATAAACACCAAATTAAAGAGAGTGCTTAGCTCTGAAATGAAGGAAAGTAAAGAGGGTATACAGGTGACGACCACTATATCTGAAATTATCTTTGTAAAAAAATCTGAAAAATTCACTGAGTAATTTCCGAATGTTACTTAGCATTGCTCTGGGTAGAGAATAAAGGGGTCAGTGTAACGATCTAAGAAAAATAATACGATGACAACAGCTTCAAATGCTCAAGAAAGCTCAAATAGGATGACTAAAAATAGTGTTGGATTTGGCAATTAGGAGGTCACTAGGGACTTTATCGACAACAATTACAGTGAGTGGCTGGGGGTGGGACAGAATGGAAGCCATAAAGTCCTGTGAGGGGTTGAGGAATTAATGAGATATGAACTAATGGAGACAACTCTTCCCTCTTTCAACAAATTTGCCTGTAAAGAGAGAGAAGACAACAGCTTCAAGTGAAGCTAAGTAGAGGACAGATGTTTTGGTGGTTTGACTGTTCTGTTGTTTTGTTGACTGGACGGAGAAATTTAAATATATATAGCAGT